GGGCAAAGTGGAGTTGAGGCTGTTCATTGTTTGTGATGCAATTCATTTCACAAAGTTCTGAGTGTTCACTCTGCCAGGCACTCTGCTCGGGACCTCACCTACACTCATTAATCAATTAGTCTCACAACAGCTCAATGAGTATTCTCCCCATTTTTGAGATGATGAAACCGAGGCTCGGGGTCACACACAGTGAGTGGCGGGGCTCTGCAAGGCCCTCACCTACTATATGGTTCTCTCTCTCCTGCTGCTATGTGACAAGCGCTAGGGTATCAGCGTACTGAACAGCTGCCTAGTCTCGGGACTAATCATGGGCCGTTTGCTCCAAGCCCTCCTTTACTCCAAATCTGCGGGGTGAGCCTACTCGGAGCGCTGGGGCTTTGCTGGCTGGGAAGTCCGGGGGAATGGGGCTCCACGGCCACACTGCCTAATGCAATGTTTGGGTGCCAGGTGGCCTGCATTTCCCCACTTTCCAGGTCCTGAGAACAGCAACTTGAGCCGGGACGGGGTGGGGGGTGGGAAGGCTGGGAGCTGGCGAGGAGGGGGCAGCTGCCTCAGAATGTCCTGGGCTGGGTTAGATGACTCCTGGTTGCCTGCCCCTCTGGGGGACAGTGCTTCGGTGTGTGGACCTGCACCTCCTCTCCTTACCTGCAGGCGACTAGTACAGTGAACTCCCAGTGAGTGATGGTGTAGATGAATGTACCAGGAAACGAAGAACAGTGGTCCCTCGGTGTCTGCGGGAATTGATTCCAGGACTTTCCCAGAGTCCCGTGTATAAAATGGTGTAATATTCGCATATAACCAATGCGATCCTCCCATATACTTTAACTCATCTCTAGACAGATTATTTATAATACCTAATACAGTGTAAATGCTATGTAAATAGTTGTAAATACAATGTAAACACTCTGGAAATAGTTGCCTGTGAGCTGGAAATTCAGCTCTTGCTTTTTGGAACTTTCCGGAATATGTTTTTTCCCCTGAATGCTTTCCATCTGTGGTTGGTTGAATCCGTAGATGCAGAAGCCAAGGATAAGGAGGGCCTACTGAACTGGATGAGGAGAAATGATTGCTTCATCAGGGAAAATCTGTAAAGGGGATTTGGGCTTCTGACAAATGGCTGAACTTGGAGTAGGGGAAGCAAGATTTCCAGGAAGGAAGAGTAGAGAATTTCATTAGAAAGTTGCCTTTGCTCCTTGGTGATGCTGATCAATAGTAAATGAGGACCCAGGACCTGGAAGGGAAGGAAGCCAGCACAGGCCTCGCACAGAGGAAGTATTCAAGGGACCCTAGCTTGTGGGATCCCTTACAGCCATATTCTACTCCTTTCTGTCCAGTTCAGTGGAAATGGGTGTCTGCCCATTCTGTTGCTTGTATTATTGTGAATTACTTGGATGTCAGACCATAGACGTGTCTGTTTCTGAGTTCACTAGATGCTTTGTTCACTTCTTGAAAGAAAATGATTCTGATCAGTCAGAAATCCAGTCACCGGAAACAGTTTAAACAATAACACCTTACTGCTGATGAGAATTTCCCAGGTGGCACTGCTGTGACATCCTGGTTGCAGCTTCTTGATACAGTTTCTCCATCCAGCAGATCTTGGCCAACCCAACTTGCATATGGTAATGAGGAACAGTGCTCATCAGTAAGATTCAGGCTTGACTTGTTTCCTGGTCATGATCAATGTGGGTCTAGCACACAGCAGACCTTCTAGGGTTTCCCTCAGCAAACCCTAAATGTTGACTCCTCCATTCACAAATGTACAGTACCTACTATGTGTAGTCTACTGAATGCTGGGAGGAAAATCCTAACAGGGTTTCTGCCCTCTAAAACTTAAATTCTAGATGAGAAGGCAGTATAAGTGTGCATAAATGATAGGAGAACAACTCTAGGGTGAATTAAGATTATAAGAGAGAGAAAGATGGTAGAAGGTTGCAATTTCAAAATTTTTCCTTCAGAATGCCCCCAAGAGCAGAGAGGCAGATATTTAAATCCTTGGAGGTCTGTGAGTAAGCCCAGAACAGCCAGTTGCAAGCTCAAAGCAGTTTTTTGTGTTCTGTTTTCTTTCCTTTAATTTTTAATTATACATCTTGCATTTTGTACTATAATATGTCCATGCTCATTTTATTATGATCCTTGATAATCACACAGGTTTACAATATGTCAGTCACTGTTTTGAGAGCTTTTAAAACATGACACAACTTGATCATCACAATAACCCTTCATAGGATTAGTCAAATGTAAATCATCCACTGGTCACATTATTTAACATTCCCTTTGCCCCAATTGTGTGGGTTAAAGCAGTGCTCCAGGAAGATATGTCTGTCACAGCCAAGGATATTGGGGATATGGCCCAAGCCTCACTGACAGGTGCAACTGTGTTTAAAAACTGGCTCTGTCACTCACCTACTGGGTGACTTTGAACAAGTTGCTTAAATGTCTTGGAGCTCCAGTTTTTTCCCATTTGTAAATGGCGATGCTCACGACCCCTTTCTTGCCCGAAGACTATATACGTCAAGCACCAGCACAGCCCCTGACACCTCTTTGGTACTCATTAAAGTGATAGTTGTTGTTATCAGAAATCAATTAAAAGGTATTGCAATAATGTGTGATGGAGTGCCAGATGAGTCATACCAGTAGGACACATGCTTGAGTGGCTGCAGGAGACTCTGGATTCAAACTGACCTGTGTCCAAGGCTCTACCATGTGGGACCTTGGGCAAGTTATAAGTCTCCTTGTGCTTGAGTTTCTTCATCTGTATAATGGGAGAATAAAAACACCTCCCCGAATGGGTGGCACTGAGGTGGGGCACAGCCTGGCTCAATAAGTATTGGCTTTTGCTGGTGAGGCAGGTCCCAGAACCCTGCTCAGAAAGCACACGAGGCCTGTTGTGTGTCAGACCCTGTGCTGGGTGCTTCTTAAGCTGAAAGGAAAGACCTGGCCTATGCCTTCCTGGAAGCCAATGACTGCAGGATGTTCCCTGTGATCGCAGAAGTATGTGCCATGTGCTGCAGCTGCATGGGGAAAGTCGAAAAGTTCCCTGGGCCAAACAAATTCACGAAATCCTCTCATGATGGGGGCTCAGAGAATCAGCTTCTTTTAACTTCTAGCTTTGTCATTATGAGTGACAGTAACAATACAGGTGTCCTGAACTATTTTACTTTTGTGGGTTTGGGGGTTGGGCTGCATCTCTTAAAAGAATATGGAAAGTTCAGATAGAAGAAAATAATCACAGACAACCCTATCACCCACTCTGAACCCCATGGAACATTGCTGGTTCCTTACTGAGATCATACTGTGAATGGGACATAAATGTGCCTTTTATTCACAATTCGTCTAAAACATTTTCCTGGGTTTTGTTTTGTTTTTTGGTTTGTTTTGCTGGTTCTTTATAACATTTTTAATGGCATGCTATTACGCTGCATGGATGTACCATAGTTAATACAATAGTTTCCTGTTTTTATTTTTCACTCTGTAAATTATAGTGCATTTTGGCCTGTATCACATTCATTCATCAACCAATATTTATTGGGTACTGTCAATGTCTCAGGCAGAGCTGTAGACGCTGAAGATGCAGTTATGAGCAAGACAAAGCCCCCTCTCTTGGTAGGGCTTACATTCTGGTAGGCAGGAAATAGATCTATTGAAGAAAAATAGGAAAGGAAACGAATAGACAAAGGTTCTGGGAAACCCTCTCCAAAGAGGTGATCAGAGCAAAGCAGGTCGTTTTGATTTTCTGAGGAAAAAAAAATGTTCCTAGATTCTTTTTTTTTTTAATTTTATTTATTTTTTTTATACAGCAGGTTCTTATTAGTTATCCATTTTTCCTAGATTCTTAATTCCTAGAAGTGAAATTATCGGGTCAGAGATGTTTGAAAAATGTAGGGCATTTGAGGCATTTCGCCAACTGCTTTCCAGAGTTTCAGCTGTGCTTATTTCACTGATGTCTTTCACTTTCACTTATGTCTTCTCCAGAGTGACATATTATTCTTGAATTTTTATTTATCTTTCGCTAATTTGATAGTTGAAAGTTATCTCACAGTTTTGGTTTGCATATCTTGGGTCGCTGATGAGGCTGAACGCCTGTTCTGTAGTAAGTGTTTTAGCCACTTGTGCTTCCTTTCCTGTGAATTGTTCGTTCCAGTCCTTTGGGCCACATTGTCTGGTGTGTCAGGATAAGGACTGTGAGTAGTGGACGTCCTGGCTTGTCGGGAGCCAAGCTTCCTCTCCGTGGAACTGAGAAAGGCTTTGCTGAGAAAATGGGTTATGAGGAAGTCTCTATCAAAGGCTGGGAAGAATGTAGTTCTGCCAAAGGGTTGTTAATCCAGGCAGCATGGCATAGTAATCATTGCTACTATTTACCGGGCACTTTCTAGGCATCACTATTAATCTCATAACCCTGCAAAGCATGAAGAATTGTCCCCATTTTATAGATGGCTCAGAAGCGTAAAGGGACTTGCCTAAACACACACCATTGAGAAGTGGCTCCTGTGGGATTTGAACCAGATGTAATGTGTCATGCTTCTCATAGAAGACCCGGTAGCAGGTAAAGCAGGTAGAATGTGTGTGAGTGTATACATAGATGTTAAGTCCACTGGATGAGGTTTGGCGCAGATCTGCAGTTGAACTTGTCCCTTAATGAGCAGCAGGTGGGGAGCCCATTGGAGGGTTGTGAGGACTTGGTGGTACCACAAGTTGATGAAGATGAATGGGTTCGTGTTCCCTTTCAGACTAAGGGAGAGAGTCAAGACAGAGGCCAAGACAGATGTTAGAGCAATCAAAGGAAGATCAACTGATGTATATAGATTTGTGGCTTTGGAAAAATTGGAAACAGTGGTTTGACTTAGTGACAGCCTGGCTTAAGGGTCCGTACTTAGAAGGTATAAGGACAAAATCCCTTAACTCCCCCAAATCTTTGCAACCACTGGCCCTTCTTGTCACAGAAACTGAGTGTGCCTCCTTTCAGTGGTTACTTCTGTAAGCTGTTTTCCCATCCACAGACCATGGCTCCTTGGCCTGAGTTGGAAAATGCCCAGCCTAACTCGGATAAATACATCGAAGGGGCCGCCGGTCAGCAGTCCACCGCAAAAGGCAAGGAGACCGGCAAAAGTAAGTGCCACCCCTCCAGCCCTGGGCTGGCCCCCTGGGAGGGCACCAGGAGACCCAGGCTTGGTGTCTCATTCCTCATCGTCTTCCCTGCTTGTTTGGGCAGATGACACCGACACTCCTGTCACCAAGATTGAACTTCTGCCCTCTTATTCTACCATGGCACTGATAGAGGAGCCCACAGTGGTGGAAGACCCCTGGAACCTGCCCGAGCTTCAGGACACGGGGATCAAATGGTCAGGTAAACGAGGCCAGCCGGGGCAGGCGGGAGGGGACTGTCCACGATTGAGGTTACTAGCTTCACAGCGTCACCTCCTCTGTGTCGGCCTCTCCCTTCCATTGTTTGAGCAAAGGTCCTGGCTAGGGGATGGCACCCAGCTTAAGAGTCAAGCATCCTGTGATGACCAGGGGATGTTTTTGTTCTTTCATTCATTCATTCAACAAACGTGGGCCGGCACCAGGGTTATAACCAGGCCAGACCCTGTGCTGATCTTTATAATCCATTTTGTGCTGAACCAGGTCCCAGGTACTGTTCAGTGCTGCAGATGCAGCAGTGAATAGATGAGGCCCTGCCTCTGAGAGCCCTGGGGGTTGGGGGAGGGGAGTCCCCTCACCTAAATGTGGGCATCAGGGAAGGCTTGCAGAAGACAGACTATACAGACAGAACGGCTGGGGTGCAAGCAAATGCTGTACTTTTTCCCCAGGCAGGGTGTGAGGTCTGTGCGGATCAGACAGCTGGGAGGGTAAAGGAGCTGGGAGGAAGTGAGAACCACTTTAAAAGTAAGTGTCGGGCTTCCCTGGTGGCGCAGTGGTTGGGAGTCTGCCTGCCGATGCAGGGGGCGCGGGTTCGTGCCCCGGTCCGGGAGGATCCCACATGCCGCAGAGCGGCTGCGCCCGTGGGCCGTGGCCGCTGAGCCTGCGCATCCAGAGCCTGTGCTCCACAATGGGAGAGGCCACAACAGCGAGAGGCCCGCGTACCGAAAAA